GAACAGCCGCCTTGGCGCCCCGGAGACCCCCCAGCGCAAGCTGGCAGGTGGGAGAGCCGAGGCCGGGCCCCGCGCGGGCACCGGGGCTGCTCCCCAGGGCTGGGGGGGAGAGGGGACCCCGGAGCTCCTCCCCAGCTGCAACGCTGGAGCCTGTCTGGGGGATGTCTCCCTGGTGGAGAGCAGCATGACCCGTTGCTGAAGAGGGGTGTCCCTGAGCCTCTCCTTGCTGTGAAGCCTCTTGCCGTGCTGGGTGCGGACAGGAGAAGGGCTGTGGGAGGGAGCTGTCTAACAGCAGGTCCCAGGGCCGTGCTGGGTGGTGTGTCCCCTAAGGGCTTCTGTCCCCTCCTCCCAGACCTTGGCTGGGTTACGGACCTGGGCGCCGGGAGCAAGGGAGCACTGGAGCTGACCACTGTTGTCCCCAAGGGACGTTTGGTCTCTTTTTCACCGTGGGTCCCGACTAGGAAGGACTGCAGGGACCGATCCCCTCTCTCCAGACAGCGACTCACCCCAGACAGTTGGGCGAGGAGCCTTCCGGCTGCATCTGAACTGCCCTTCATGGGGAAAACCTTTCCCGCTGCTGGTCCTGGTGCCGCAAGCGGAGCAGCCAGCCCAGAGCGAGCCCCCTGCAGAGCCGATTCCTTCCCCTGCAGCTCTCACAACCTTTCCCCATCGTGTCTCCCTGCAGATTTTGGCTTTGCTCAGTACATGTCCCCGTGGGACGAGAAGCACGTCCTGAGGGGCTCCCCGCTCTACATGGCGCCGGAGATGGTGTGTTGCCAGCAGTACGACGCGCGGGTGGACCTGTGGTCGGTGGGCGTTATCCTTTACGGTGGGCCTTGACTTTATTATTGGCCTTTACTGCCTGGCTCTGCGCCCTGCAGGGAGGTTTTCCCTGCTCCGTCTCTCGCCTCCCTGCACCCGGTAGTGCCCCAGGGCCTGGCTGTGGCTGCTGCAAACCGAGGGACCGGTCCCACGACGGGCACCGAATCCCTTTGCAGTCCAGGGGAATTTGGAGCCCCTGTCCCTTCCCGTGCAGTAGGGCCCGAGATCCCCTGCACATCTCTCCTCCACCGAAACATCCTTCAGCCCCACGGTGGTTCCTGCCCTCCCAGACCTGATGTAGGGCACTTCCAGGGGAGCAAAGCCATGGGCCCCCCGCCAGCCCTCAGGGGTCGGTGTCCCCTTCCTGGGGCGAGGTAGACCCAGGGGTGCTCCTGGGAGAGACTTGCCCCTTGGCTGGGTGCTGTTGCCTTGGGCTCACCCTGGTCGCTGTCTTCCCCGGCAGAGGCACTTTTCGGGAGGCCGCCCTTCGCCTCCAGGTCGTTTGCCGAGCTAGAGGAGAAGATCCGCAGTGACCGGGTCATCGAGGTAACGTGAGGCCACCACGGGGCAGGGTGGCCAGGCGCAGGGTCAGGCCCTGCCTCGCGGGCGAGGGCTGGATGGTGCAGGGAGGATTTCGTGGTATGTCCCTCAGCTGCCTGAAAACGTGCCGAGGTCAGCAGCCTTGGGGCTTGGCCCTGGAGCCTGCGGAGGGGAAAGGGGTG